GAGTGTCAAGGAGGAGAACATTTACCAGGAACCTCACCTCAAATTTAATTAAACTCAATTCAACTTTATTTGTCATTATACTTAAATGGGTGCATAGTATAGTGAAAAGTGTTTCTCATTAGTCTCTCAGGTGTGGTATATAAATAGAACAGCAGACAAGACAATAGACAGAAATACAATAACAGTGTAAACAACAGTACGGTACCAGAACAAAATTGTAAAAAACTGTTTAAATATGCAAACAGAGAAAAGTATTCAAACAGGACAAAAACAGAGAAAAGGTAATACGGAGAACAGTGCAAAAATAATATGGCGATTAATAAATAGTACAACTAGTACAGTTTTAAGTACCATTTTGGCTTACATTCAGTTGTGGTGTATGTAGTGGTGTTGGAGTACAGTTATTGTGGTTACAGGAAGAGGTGAGGAGAGATCAAAGTATGATGGGAGGGAGTGGGGCCATCACCAGCTTGGCAGCGCTGGGGAATAAGCTATTTTGGAGTCTTGTGTGTGACTGGAGCCTCCGGAACCTTCTACCAGATAGTAGGGAGACAAACAAGTTATGACTGGGGTGAGTGGGGTCAGACATAATTTTGTAAGGGAGTAAAGCAGTTGGCTGAGCACACAGCCTTGAGGGGCACCAGTGTTAAGGGTGAGCGTGTTGGAAGTGAGTTTGCCAATCCTAACAGTCTGGGGTCTGCTGGTGAGGAAGTCTAGGATCCAGCTACAAGGAGTGGTATCTAGACCCAGAGCAGTTTTTCTTGCGTTGTGAAGGCATGTACACAGTGGTCCCCACAGGTTCCAGTTAGTAATTACGCATCGATGAAAAACCGGAGGTTTAAAAAAAGAGAATTAGCTTACTGATAGTTTTATGTGGAGGCTGTGAACATTTTCACGTGTCGTGGTCTTTAAAATGCATTTGGTTTGAAGGCTTTCTGTGTTTCCCTTCCAAAGATATGGACAGAAGAATATTCGATGGTGGTAAAAAAATGGCTTAAAACGACATAGTGAAGGCTGTGAAAACAGCCACAGACCACGGGCATTTTTCCTCCCCCCTACATTCTCAGAGTAGAATAGAATTTATTATAAGCACAATTTATTACAGTGCTAAATTTAATATTATTGATTAATAATAGTTTATGCTAACACCTAACTTTCTTAACACGAGAAATACTGCTCAATACGGCTTTGTGCGAAAAACCCGTATATCACCATAGGAAGCATAACAGCGTAGCCTCCAATTACCCAGACCACAAAACAAAGGAATAAAGCTTTGTTTGATTTCTGAAACCCTTTCTTTATGTCCTGTTTCCATTCAGGTAAGGGTCAACTATATACATAATACTGCTGACAGCAGGAAAATTCATATTCTTTACTCAGCAGCGTAAACCAGCACCCATGGTGTTCAAACCGATTTTTTTTCTACACAGAAGACTGACACAGCTTTGCGTTGTGAATCTGTTTTTCTAAGAAAACATATGAGTGGGGGAGGTGGACTTACCTTATTCTACTTTGAAAATACCTGTGAAACCGGTTTGTTTTCAAACAATGTAGACAGAGAGAAAGAGAGATGCGATAACAACCGCACAGTGCCAGGTGAATGGACATTATTGTAGGGCTTTCGGGCTCACGTGGATTTGCTCCCTACAGTACAACCTACGGTACCACTGTGTACATACAGTACGAACATGTGATATTTAGAAATATAAAAAATGCCAATATAATGCCAATAATATTTGCTATTTTAGTTTTTCAAAGACATGTTTATTTGTTAAAAGAAAACTGATGGTGACAGCTGGGTTTGAACACTCAACCTCAGGGTTATAAGTCAGTCACTTAAGCTATCACGCCACCGTGCAACAGTACATGAGTGTAGTTATATCGTTATTCATTTCTTTGGATACGCTTCTTCCGATATCGAGCTCATTCGCAGAAAAGCTTATAACTATCACTTTTCTGTATACTATATAAACGTACAGTAACATGGTCAGAAGGAGCAAGGAGCACATAAAAATGTTTCTGAAATAACCACATGTATGACTTTGATGCTTAAAATGTTTAGGGAGAAATGGAATACTGGTGTGTATTTTTTTTTAAATACCAAGACCAGCAATATACAGTTTACATTATATGTTTATGTTCCTAAATTAATATCGTTAATGACCTTCAGATGAGTTATGCTCCTATTCTTTTTATGCTCAGCTACTAAAATTTCCCTTTAGTGGTAAAATTCCAAATAAATATTCAATACTAAGCGGATTAAAATGTGCACAGTAAAGAGATTAAATGATTAAAACTTTTCACTACCGACCAATGCACCACCAGTGCCCCTGTCAGTCATTTTGGCCAGCCAATTAAGTACCGTGGTAGGGCACGGTGGTGCACACATAGATGCCCACAGTACAGGTTTGTACCGTGCATTTTGAATGGCTGCATCTGTAGCTTTTGTAAGATTTATGAGTATAATGGTGTTAAATGCTGAGCTTAAATAAATTAACAGCATTCTATAGGTGTTCTTTTTTTCAAGGTGGGTTAGTGTGGTGTGTAAAGCTATAGAGATTGCATCCTCCGTGGAGCGATTTGTGTGTTAAGCAAACTGGAGAGGATCAAGTGTTTTTGGAATTCTGGCTTTAATGTGTGGTATTAGTAGTTTTTCAAAGCATTCATTATGATGGGGGTGAGTGCAATAGGGAGATAGTCGTTCATGCATGTGGGTGCTGACTTTTTTGGTACTGACCTGATGGTGGTTGTCTTGAAGCAGCTAGGTACAGTAGCCTGGGCCAAGGACAGGTTGAAGATGTCAGTACAGACATCAGCTATCTGCCAGCCACATGTTCTGAGTACCAGGCCAGGGATACAGTCACGTCCAGCATCTTTTTGTGTATTCACTCTGCTCAGCGATTTCCAGACATCTAGCTTGAATTGTGTGTGGTGGGGGGGTTGGTGACAGGGAAGTCAGTGGCCCAGGTGGCTAGTTCAGGGTTTCGAGTTTTGAAGCATGCATAGAAGGTGTTAAGCTTGTTTGGTTGGTTGACATAAATTCATATTTTTACCAGAGGCGGCTGTTCTGTCCGAGCTGAGAGTTAAAAATTCATCCAGCTGAGTCCGGTATGGTTGCTATGAAGCCATGTTTCTGTAAACACGAGAGTGCAGCAGCCTTTTATTTCCCAGCGAGTAGTGAGCCTGAGTTTTATTTCGGCCAGTTTGTTGTCTAGCAACCGTATGTTAGCAAGGAACAGGCTGGGTACTGGTGCTCTGTTCCACTGTTCTTTTAGTCTTATTTGCAGCCTGGCTCTCTTACCGCGTTTCTGTTTGCGCTCGCACCACTTGCGCCGTCTCCTCTCCCGGCGGTCGCGGTCAGATGACTCCGTGGCTTCCGGGCCTGCGGTGTAGAGGATGGACGAGCTGATGTAATCCAGGTCAAACAAACTGAAGAAGAAATCCCTGCAGTTGTTTCTGATGTCCAGTAATGTTTTACGGTTGTAGGAGATGTAAGCTCTAGTGTTTTGGGTAACTAATGTGACATATAACAAAAATAACTAACAAAATGCACCATTGTTTGAGAGCTGATGAAGCTGCTGCGTCCATGTGTGCCATCATTTTGTGCCATTACTTAAGAAAATCCATTGTTTATTTTTTGTTATTTTTGGATAGTTTTTCAGCATATTGGTTTTGATTTTTCAAGCCAAAGGTTGAACATGTTCTAATTTGGGGGGATTTAATTTGTATCTTTATTTTTTAAATCTTTTGTTGTAAGAAAATATTTTTTCAACACCATTTTGTTTCCCATGTGTAGGAAATTCCGCCTCCACTTTGCAGCACAGGGGCATTTTTCTTAAAACGTGTCCATCTTGTCCTTTCTCTGAGGGACAGCATTCATAGAAAATACCATTGCATTCAGGCCCAATTCGCAACACCAATGTGTTCTCATATAGTGAGAACATACAGTGGAGTGGCCAATCCCTATATTCCCAGTAACATCTTGTTGCTGCTCGTCTCATATACACAGGTCAAGATTATCAGTAAACATACTTCAATAGTCCTATATACTCCCTGCTGTGCACATTTCAAAGGGAAACCATTCATTTCTTTCCCCAAAAGGATTTAAATGTAAATGAAGCAGAAATTTAAAAGTGGTGCTCTGGGGTGATGTGGTTCTATTTTTACAATTCTGACTCACTGCCATGTGGCACTAGTCACGACTGGGAGGTGAAGTGCTTAGTGAAACTTCCCTTTAGATTAGGAGGTGATCTGTCACTGAGCCTGAATCTGCCCACTCTTCATTTTTTTATAGGGGGAGGCAAACTGGGCTGAGACAAAAGGTTATTCAGAAATAATAATTTTATTTCTATTATTAGTGTTCTTTGACTCTTTTTGGAAAGTGAAATATTTAGTTTCAATTCCCAGGGTATTGGTAGTTCAAAATTAGTTAAATGTCTTCATTGTCTGATTAAAATGAATTTCAGTTACAAAGTAGTAGATTCAAGTAATTAATGTAATGCAGACACTACTAAAACAAACAGGCATGCCAGAACCTTTTAGAAAGTTGCTGTTAAACACCCCATTTCTATAAAAAAGGGGTTAGGAAACAATCTGTAGATGGTAATATAAAATGTTGCCACATGAATAGAGATAAAAAAAGGGTAGAATCTTTTTTTTCCATTCACAGTTTTCCCTAGAATTTGACTAGAGTCTCCAGAACATTCATATGCCATTCATTTTCTAGACTTTATTCCATGGGATCATTATTAGGTTTCTTATAATGTGTTGGAACAATTACAGTAAGCTAATAAAGCTTTGAGGTTTGGTGTGTAGATTTTAAGATTATATCATATTCTTATCCTATCTGCTTATGATACCTGAAAGAGACTTGAGTTTTGTGTCGTGCTCAGTCTGTATATTAACAAGCTGATTTCTAAATATTTGTAACCAGATAAATAAACAAGCAGTCAATTAGGAAAGAGTTTTTCAGAGGAGCTAAATACAGTTTGTTATTGCAGATTCAACCCAGGCGAACTATGACAAAGCTGCCTCTACAAGCCAACTTCTATCCAATGACTACAATGACCTACATTCAAGATGATACAATTCGGATGACATTGCATTCTGCACAGTCCCTAGGGGTGGCCAGCCTCAAACCAGGTGAGCACAGGATTTAAAATATAAAGGATCTTTTTTTAGTATATGTGTTAATATGAGAGTTAAAATCAATTTTATTTTACCTTTACATCAAATTATGCCCATTGTTTCACTATTTATTTTACATTTGGTGATTTTAGTCTTTGCATATGAAGCTCGCAGGTACAGTATAATACTTATCCATAATTTATCAATAACTTTAAAGAATGCCCAATATTTAATCCACGTAATCCACAGTGTATGCAAAGATATTTAGAATAATAAAGTTCTGGAGTATCTGTTACATTTTTGTATATCATAACAGCAGTTGTTTTGTCTATAACCAGAGAAGAGTTTTCTTAGTCTTAAAAACATTTCTTTAGACTTGGAGATGAAGGAAAATTAACAACTAATCCATGTTATCCCGATTACTCCCACATGTCTATAAAGGGCTGTTTTTTTCAAAATGTAATCCATTTTTTATCACATACATCTCAGATAAAATGTAATAATGGTCATCATCTCCCCAATGAAAGCTTCAAATGCAACTTCTGTTATGAAGTAGCTTTGTGTCAAGGCCATTTTTGCAGGTATAGGACTGTGTCAGTCTTTTTGATATTTTAGACTTTCTAGAACTCTGAAAGCTGATTATTTCAATTCAGTTTGCAAATTGACAACATCTTCTAATAGAACTAGAGAATAATTTCCAAAACCTTGAGCTTTTGCAAAAATATTTTTTTTAAATTGTAATAATTGTTTCGTGCCCGCCAACTAGTGCATTATCACCTCACAGTAGGGGGAAGGGAAATTATGTGTTATTTCATTCTCCATCAGTATGCATTCCCAATAGTCACTGATGCAGCTTTAGCAAAGTCATTCCTGGTTTAAATTCCTGGTTTTAAGAGAAGAATGGGATTTTTTGTGTATACGTTTTGTGTTATTTTGGAAAAATTATTTTAACTTTCTGTGTTCACAAAGATCCTTAGCTGATCACGAGGAAGAAAAATTCCCTCTATTTATGCATAATAAGTGGTGTTTAACTTATAATATATCAAAAAACATTTTTTATAGAGTTTTAAAGTTACACAATGTCTAAGTTAGGTAGGGACATGTCATTGTTTCTTTTTGATTTTCTTTAAAAAATGTTTAAAAGATCATCTTCCCACTTTCACTTTTCCATAACTATAGTGCAGATGTAGCATATTTGGGGGCTTGTTCAAGATCTTTGATTTGTATTGTGGAACCAATATTTTTTTCCTTGGTCCACACGTGCTGCACTTGGGGTTGTTTTAGTTTGTAGTGGTCCTTGTATTACAGGTAATATGGTAATATACTGTAGTTTGTATTACAGTTAATTGTGGTGTCCATCCTGGTTTTCAGTTTAGAGGGTTCTACTCATCTTTGGGCAGTTTGAGAAATGTCAAAAGGCAGATGTTTTATCGATAGCGGGTTTTAGTCTCTCGGTCTGCTGGGGACATATCAGATGTTAAACTGAGGAAGGGATACAACCCCCATGGCCCAGACAGATAAAGGTGATAAAAATCCTTTTGAAAAGGATGAAGTCTGTTAACAGAAAGTCTTAACAGAGCCACTTGTGAGGGCATGGTGACTTTCTGCTCAATTACATGAGAGCTACAAAACAGTCAGATAGATTTTAAATTCTTTAAGCAACATTAGCTGTTTGTCAAATTCACTTTACACAACTTTTAGGTATTTTTGTTCTCTTGTGCAAACTCATCAAATATTTATTTTTTGTAATTCTGGAACTCGGCTGATATGCCTCAGGGACTCATCCATAGTATAATCAAAACAACCCTCCCAACCCACCCCAACCGGGTCTCACCTCCCGCTGTTCTACACACGTGAATCCCATGAAGTCAGATCCAAAGACAGACCGAAACAGTAGCACACACAGCAATGAATGGCAGTGTGTTCGTATACTGTATAAACATATTGTATATACAGTTCGATACCAAATGGTTTCAGTGCTACTACAGTGCAGTATGTGTGAAATATTTTTCAAAATTTAAAGTTAAATTTCTTGTTGCTGAAATTTGTATTAAGACAAAATATAGATTTTCTTAACGTGGATCTAAACCTGAAAGAGACACATAGCGTTCACACCAAGCTTTAATAACAAACTAAACACATCCGGCGTTGAAAAAAATATATCTGGTTAATTCCATGCTGAAAAGACAAGACTTAATGTTTATTCTCTATAATTCCTCAGATTACAGCTTGTCCATGGTCTGTGGTATATTGTTAATATTATTAATATATTCTTTATTGCATTTAAATTGGAACATTTTTACAAATATGAAAAGAAGCGATACACAATGTGTCTCTTCTATAACTCTTCAGTTTGCAGAAAAGGTTCCGCAGAGCCACACAACATTGTCACAACATAGTAAACAGCATTCGCTGGCTCATGTGTAAACAGGTTTAACACCTGTTCACTGTCATGGTACGGTTTCAACATATTGAGAAGCTGTTCTCCGATAACTGGCAATTGTTAAAATAACCCTTCTCCCTCCTTTGTTTAACTTAAAGAGTTCCATGAATAACAACCTTAATTTTTAAAAACATTTTGGCTGATTACTGGTGTGGTGCGCTCTCTGAAGGCACCAGTTCTGTAGGGTTTGGGCATTTACGGGGACAATTATTAATTGTAGCAGTAAATCACAAAATGATTCTTTTTAATGGCTTTAGAATCCAACCATGCGATATAACTCAAACAACACACACACAGGTACTAATACACGAGGATACATTTATTAATACATAGAATATGCATGTTAACCTAACAGATCTTATCGTGAGGGTTATCAGAATACAAAAGATATATATTCAGTCAGTTACGAAGAGTTACATATATCAAGAGGACATACGTTCAGTTTATCATTCATTTAGACCGTTTCGTAATTGAACTTGGTTACAGGCTGTGCTGTGCGGCTTGCGATGGTGCGCTGCTGATGTTCTCTGAAGACTGACTAGTTAGTGTTGGCTTTAACTAGCAAGAGTTTGTGCACAGGAGAAAGATGACAGCAGCAAGTCAGGAAGAGGACCTGTTTGTTCCTGATGAAGCGCTAGTTCTAAATAATGATTCAGCTGTCCACAGTTCCGACCTGTTCACGAGGCTTGCTGCTGATGCTAACCTCGGGTGGATCCTCTGGTTACTCGTGGCAACCTCCGCTCTAGACTCTTAAAACAGAGGAAAGTTCTGGCACTCGGACACACTGCCCGTTCCGTGGTTGTCCGGGCTGAGTCTCAGGATGGTCAGGAGGCGCTCTGCTAGAATGTCCTGCCCTTGGGAGCCTTTCTGCTCCTGGGCCGTCCTGCCCTGGAATTGCACCACAGAGATGAAGAGAGAGATGGGGCCTCATTTTGGAAAGCACAGCAACACTTAATTCTGTCTTATTAACAAGCATTGCCACTACACTGGCTGCTGAAATTTGGATTAAGACAAAATATAGATTTTCTCAATTTGCGTGTAAACCTGAAAGAGGCACATCTCATTCACAACGCGCTATAATAGCGGACTATTTTTATATATTTGGCTGTAGGAAACAAACCAAAAGTAATGCTCTGATCAGACTTTGAACCGCCTGGGTACAGCACGCTACATTATAGTCCTTGAGCATTCCATTATCCATTACCAGGACAATAAAAGTTTTTGTTTTACGTTTACAAAAAATCCACTATTTTAGCTGCTTAGTTACATGATTCCATATTAATATTACTGTCAAGTGCTATTAAATCAGTACTTTTCACAATAACAGCAAGTGATGTTCTTACTACGTATTCCTAGAAAAGGATAAAACATTATAACTTTTTATAAAGTACAGTATATAAACTGTATAATGTTAGAAAAAGCACATTAAAACCATAACTCACTGTAAGTCACCAAAGAGTTTGATGCATAAAATACTCATGAAGAAGGTGGAACACTGTTGTATACTGTTGTAATCTATACTGTAGATTTGGTATGTATTACATTATACTACTGTTCTTATTTTCAGCTACCAAAATTTACCTTTGGCTTTTCTTTATGTGGATGTAAACCTGCAAGTGGCACATCATGTTCATAAGCTACAGTATAAGCTACAGTGGTTTTACAAAGTAGTACAGTCACACAACTGGAAATTTCTAAAAAGCTGCGGTACTCTGCAGACCCTGAACTGTGAACTACTGCAGTATCCCTCATGCATTCTGAATGTCTGGATCTATACTTTGTCAGCACACTGTAAATGTTGATGAAAACACAAACTGGATTTTGTACCAAACATTAATTCTAGCCATAGCTATATATGTTGATGGATATAGGTATTTAGCATTTTATTCTGCATTATAATTAAAAGTGAGTCCTTATTTTAGTTTCACAGGGGTAAAGGAAAATCCCACTTTGTTTCATTTTTTGTCAGTCAGGTACCCAATATATTATGTTTATGAATTTCTGTTCCTGTCTCCCTTGACCCACCATTATACTGTTCATGGTGTTTTTTTAATTATACTAATAGAAAATGTGAACTATGAACATTATTTGGATTAACTACAGGTTATTTACCACAGAAACCAAATGCATGATTTCACAGAATATCCAATTTTATAAATTCGATAAAATTAATAAAGTTATCTGAGAAGTGGTTTTAACAAAATTGTCATAGTCTAAAAGACCTCGTTTATGAATGAAAGAGACAAAATACTTTTTCAATATTCAGTGGAGATAACTATACTTCTGAAATACTGTACATTCATTATCAAATACCACTTTATCAGTTCAGAAAAAATATATGATGATTATAAAAATAGATAATTCTGTGATGATAGCAGCACATTTTGTTTTTCATTAGTTGTAATCCAAGTTGGAAGCATTGCTGTATCAAACGGAATTTAATTCCTGTCCAAAAAATCATTTAACTGTTTCTGAGAAAAAAAACACTTACTTTTTCTTAAGTAAGCCTTGAACTGTAGATATTAACTAGTAAGAATTAAATCTGATCTGTCATCCATTTAAAAATTAGGAT